GGTGTTAATTAATTTTTGAAAGACATATCTTGGGGACCTGCACCTACGGTTACAACTATGTCTAAGTATTTTGTGAATGGTTACAAATTTCACATCGAGGAATGCTCCAAGTATAAAAAAAGCAATAATAGTGGGGTGTGTGTCAATGGTGGTAAAGGCAACCAGGATAGGGAAAATGATTATTATGGTGTGATCAAAGAGATTCTAGAATTATCATATTAAGGTTGGCCAAATAAGAAGACCATACTTTTTCAATGCAAGTGGTTTGACCCCACCCCTAGAAGAGGTACAAATGTACACTCGCAGTACAACATAATTGAGGTTATTAAAAAGAGGGAGTATGATCGCTATGATCCTTTTATAATTGTAAAAAAAGTTAGGCAAGTGTATTATGCTCCATATCCATTGCGGACGGATAAGGCTGATTAGTTGGTTGTAATCAAAACAAAGCATGTTGGTAGGGTGGAAGTTGAGAATATGCTAGATGTTGCTTACCAAAATGATACCTCAAGTGTTAACCAAATGGTGGATGATCAGTTAGAAAATGACTTGGAGCATCCTCAATGCATCTTAGAAGAAGTTGATAGGGAGGAAATAACAATCATAGAAAATGAGGATGAAGAATCACCTAATGAAAATGAAATAAGTGAAGAGGAAGAATTTTCGGACGAGGAAGCATACTTCGAAGACGACTAGCATGTTAGTTTTTTCAAGCGCTCTCAACTTATATAGATTTATATTCTCAATTCTAACATTTTCTTTAATTTATGCAGATGACCGGTAGGGGTCGAGGTAGGTCTAGGAAGGATAAGAGGCCTATTGATCATGATGATGGTGCTACACCCTCGCTTCCTTCTACTCCACACTTGCATCCCTTCGCTGCTGATGGCCGACAACAATCTTCTAGGCACACATCTATTCCACCACCTCCATCTACTCATCAGACTACCTACCATTCGCCCTCCCAGTAGTATTCTTACCATTCTCCGCCACAGAGCTATACCCCGCTTCCTCCACATGATCCTGCATATAGTTATATGGGTCCATCGAGTCAGCAGTCACAGGGCCATGTGGTGATACGCCCGTCATCTGATCCATTTGCTTCATCACCAGCTGGATTTCATCCATCTAGATTTCAGCCAGCTGGATCATAACAGGGGTCTAGATCACTGCAGGGGTGTGGATCGCAGCCATCTTCATCAGCGACCCCGTCTCTCTCTCCACAGAGTTCGTCTCCTAGCATTTCTAGACTTCGCCTTCGGAATAGTATAGCTGAGCCAGATGCTTCCCCTTCTGCACACGCTTCAGATTCATCGGAGGAAGATGATCCAGAGGAAATGCGGTATGATCGTTATCATAGGATGATCATTAGGCCTGAGGGCAATGTGTAAGATTTATTTATTATTTCTTTGTTTTTGCTGAATTATAATAGCTAGTATTGTTTATTTAATGTAATTGTTATGTTGTGGGTTCATACCTAATCTTCAGACTACAAAGATAATCGCAGAAGCTCTTGGCCGGTTGTATGGTGCACCCTATGCGACTTGGAGTTACTTTCCACCCGAGCTCGTGCAGCAAATTTTCAACCAATTTAAAGTTTTAATACAATTCTTATCTATTTAAGCATTATATTAATAATATTTGCATTTAAAATTATACACTTCATTTGCAGACTAAGTGTGCCTGGGAGGACCGGCATAACAGTGCCATTCTTGCAAATTTTGAGTTCAAATGTCGTAAGAGACTATCTGATTCCTTCCGTTCTGCTCGGAAGAAGAACAAGAAGCCTTCATGGGTTCTACCACACATATGGGAGGATCTACTGAGGCAGTGGACCACTGAGAAGTTCAAGAAGAGGAGTGAATAGGGAAAGAAGGCCCGAGCATCTGAGAAGGGTGTCACTGTATGGGCGCAAGGAGCATGGGGACTGTGAGGAGACTACTGGTAATTCCTTAAAATATTTAATTCTATTTTTATCAAAATATATTTATATATTTTAATTTAGTTAACTTGTTTTATTATATTTATATGAAACAAAATATGGGAGGAAGATGAATCATGATGAGTTCTTCATGGAGACTCACATTCGGAAGAAGAAGGCAACGACAGATCCATCTAGATGGGTCGAGGACCGGGCGGAGACTGCATATGTAAGTCTCATAACTACTATAACTTGAAATTAATATTTATAATATTATATAGTGGAGGAGTACACTCAGAGCTTGCCACCGAATGAGCAAGGCGAGCGACCACCCCTTTCAGACGAAGAAGCGCAGAAGATATGGTTGGATGTTGTCGGTGGTCCTAAAAAGGGGATAGCATACGGCCTTCCAGAGAGATCATTTCGGTTCTATGGGGCTGGATTGCAAGGTATAGGGACTTCCGCCTAAGGAGAGGCAATTGATAGGTCGACTCTCTCGTCTATAGAGAAGAAGATCGCAAAGCTGACAGCAGAGCTTGAAGAGACAAAGGCTAGAGAACAAAAGAGAGATGAATAATTTGGTACCCTTCAAGTTCAGCTAGAAAAGAGGGACCAACAATTTAATCTCCTTCAAGATCAACTGGCCAATCTTCTTGTCAGTGGTGCTTACCCCATTCCCCGGTCTCGTGAGCCTTCCCCAGATGCTAATCCTTCTCGTCGTGGTCCTTTGAACCATGCCAACGATGAAACTTCTAGTAATGAAGATAGAGATGATGTAATACAAAACACTCATTGAATGGTGTGTATTGCTAAACAAAGTCTTGAACTTGTGAATATTTAGTTGGGAATAGTTTTGAATGATGATTGTATTGTTGATATTATTTTGTTATTGAACATTTGTATAGTTGTTGTTGTGGTTGGCATTGTTGTTGTTGTTGTGGCTGTTATTAGCGTTGTTGTTGTGGTTGTGGTTTTTATTAGCATTGTTTTTGTGGTTGTTATTGGTTAATTGTTGTTGTTATTATTGGTTAATTTTTATTGTTGTTGGTTAATTATGGTTGAATGACAACAATGTAGTGCTGCCATTATAGGATATTGGTTGTAATTGGTAGGTGGTGTAGCTTAAAAGCAGGCATATTCTGCTAGGTTTTTACCTAGAAAACCTACCGATTTCAGTCAGAAATCTCATATTAAAACCCAGAAATTCAAAATTTTCGACCAAGGTCGGTCGGTAATTTCAATTTAAAATCTGCAGATATTTGAAATTTCCGACCGAAGTCGGTCGGAAATTACTTTTTTATTTTTTCATTATTCCGACCGATTTCGGCGGTTTGTTAAAATTTACAAAGAAATACAAAATTATTATATATTTATAATTCCGACCGAAGTCGGTCGCTATTTTAAAAAATAAATAAAAAATAATTTAAATTATACAGACCGACTTCGGTCGGTATATTTATTTTTCCAACAAAAGTTGTCAGTCAAAGCGGTCAACCAACGGTTGAATTAACTGACCGACTTCGGTCGGAAAATTGCGACCGTCTTCGGTCGGAAAATTGCGACCGTCTTCGGTCGCAACACTTTAGCGACCATTAGTTTTCCGACTAATTAAAAGCGGTCGAAAATCAGTCGCTTTTTCTTTAATTCCGGTTGATTTAGGTCGATTTTAGAGGACGAAATTTGGCAGTTTTCTAGTAGTGCCGTTACGTCGTCATAAAAATAGTGTTTGACAAAATTTGGCTGATTTTGGCCAATTTCTGCCGAGCATGCCATATTTAAGACGACTTTCTTAAAGAGAACTAAACAATGATCTAAGGCCGGCAATATGTTAGATTTTCTTAGTTCTCTGCATCTATAAAGGGAATTTAGGATCAACAAAATTTAAACGAAAGAAATGTTGACAAGGCATATGATCAAGAAAACTAAATTCTATTCATAAAAGTGCCCTTTAGTTACTGCTAAGCATCCAACAACATAGAATCTGGCGAGAAAATGTAACTTATGGGGTCAACTTTGGAACCGGCCTAGAACATTTTTACAAAGCAAGCAGTGAACAACAATAATGTAGGGATCCAATATTTTGACTTCGGAATATTACATGACAAGGATTATAACATTACAGAACTTTTATTCTTACCAATACGGTTATAGATCTCTTTTGGTTCAGGCGATATCTCCATCTTTATTTTTTTTTTAAAAAGATTCACATATATCTAAGTCACTAAAATAACCAAGGTTAAAAATGAAAACAAAAGATTTCTTCAAGTTTATTTAGTTTCAAACCAAACACAAGTTTGGGATTATACAACGTATATCTCATTTTTGATCCAATTGACCAAAAAAAGCACTAGTACTAAATAATCGAGGGGATTATTAATCTGAGGATTATAATCCCGCGATAACTCTTTTCGCGAACCAAATGAAGCCTCAGGGTTTTGGTCTAATAGGTAAGAACATAGCATGAGATGTGCGGTTAGAAGCACATTGTTGATTCAAACCCACACAAAATCCGATATTTAAATGGAGAATTGTTAAGGAGTACACTTATGATATGATCCAATCTAAGCATCACTGACCCTCCGGTGATATCTCAATTATCCAAAAAAGAAAAAATTATCATGTTTTGTTGGCAGATGAATCCAATTATATATAGTTTTGGATAAGAAGATATATATAAGTAAAACTAAATAGTATTGCAAATTAAAGCAAGAAAGGCTCGTTTAAAGGAGAGCATATTGTATATTCTCATTTATTATGTAACTTCTTTATTTTAAATTTTATTTCTATTGTTTTCATTATCATTATTTATTCAGCGATACACAAACCATGCGTCATTAATTGAAAGAATTAAAGAGTCATTAGTTAGGGAGTGTCCATGCTCATAATTCTAGTTGCAAGTATTTTTGTTTTGGTGAAAGGAAACTGTTGAGATGTGTTTTAGGTTATAGATGTATTTGGGCCTTTTTTAGTTTAGTATTATTTTGTATTAGGATGTAACTAATTATTGTAGTCGGTTATCTATTTATGTATGGGTCATGACCCAATATTTTTTCGATTTTGTATATAATAAGAGAAGGCTCCACTTTGGAGCTTAGCCGTTCATTTCTACATTCTCCAGAAAGTTCTCCTTTTCCTCTCTACGATCGTGATCATTCATATAGGTGTATCTTGATCCTGAATCGATTCTAACATGGTATCAGAGCCATGGAAATCACTTAGTTGAATTTATACAGTGATTTCTCTAAACCATAATTTCTTCGATCAGAGAGAAATTAGGTGTTTTTGTGTCGAATCTCACTTTAGCATTTCTTTTCGGAGGTTTTCGTTGGGGATTTTTCTCTGATCGTCCGATTGGCATTTTCTTTTTGTTATCTTCTGACTGCGTGGGGTTTTCTTCGATTTCATTCGTCGGCATCGTGATTAGGGATTTTGTCTGCTAAAGGACGATTTTACTTTGGTTTTCATAATGTTCTGCTGGTGTTCTAGTGTTTCAAGCTGACGAATTGATGAAAGGTTTCGAAGTCTGCTACTACAATTGTTTTGGTTGAGTTTCCGTAAGATCACTTCTCTTTTCCTTGTTCAGTATACTCTTGTTTTATGCCAAATGAATTTTACAATGGGTGATAACGATTCTGTTAATCGTGATAATGAGAATCTAGACCACACTAATGAAATTACATTTCATCCTTTCTATCCGTATTATTTGAGTCATTATGATAATTCGGGACTTATGTTAGTTGCTAAACAATTTGACGGTACATGTTTTGGGGCCTGGAGAAGAGGGATTATCATTGCTTTGTCTGCAAAGAAGAAAAAAGGTTTCATAAATGGTAGCTACCTTCAACTTGCACCTACATCTCCTTTACTTGATCAATGGGAACAAGTTAACGATATGGTAATCAATTAGATATTCAACTCTCTAGATCTTGATATTGCGCAGAGTGTGATATATATAAAAAATGCTAGAGGAATTTGGGATGAACTCAATCTGAAATACGGTCAGTCTAATGGTGCTAGGATGTATGAGGTGTCTCACAAGGTTCTTTCTTATGTGAGTAGTTACTTTAATAAGGTGAAAAGGCTTTAGGATGAAATAGAGTCATTGGATGCAGAATCTTATTGCATATGTGACTGCAATTGTGGGGGGATGGGGGGCACAAAATGATCAAAATGATGAAAAATTAGAAACTGATGCAATTTCTCATGGGTTTGAACGAAGTTTTCAATAATTCTAGAGGAAACATTCTCATGATACAACCTCTGCCTGAAGTGAGTTGGCCAAAGGTGTCTTACACCAAACCTCTTGTCCTTATATTCCCCAATAAAATGGAGTTGTTGAAAGGAAACACAAATACTTGTTGGAAACAGCAAGAGCCTTACTGTACCAATCAAAATTACCACTTCATTTTTGGGGGTATTGTATTTTTACTGCCACACATCTCATAAAAAGGTTTCCAAGCACAATCCTTGATGGAAAAACACCTCTTGAGATCCTTCTTGGGCATAAACCTACTTTCAATTATCTAAGAAGTTTTGGGTGTTTGTGCTATGCAGTGATTCCTAAACCTTTGAGGAACAAATTTTCTCCCAGATCCATCCCTTGTATATTTCTTGGTTATCCTGTGGGAAAGAAAGTGTCATGACCCAAAATCCAACTAGTCGTGATGGCACCTAACCTAACCCGCTAGGTAAGCTAATGATGGGGACATGTGATATTCATTTTGTAAAAGACACTTTTGACTTCAGAAAGAGAAAATCGGGTTTCAATCATAAGCACACAAAAACAACCTTTTTCCGAAGATTCTTGCCTATACTTTTTCACTGGATCCGAGAATATCTCGGGCACTCAAAGATTTATTCATTATTCTCGATTGTCAGAGATAATATTCATTACTTCTGTCTTGTCTCGGGTGACTCCTTTGCGTTAATTTACATAAATGCCATTTATTATTGTTCATCAACATTCAATGCTGCATTACTTCTATTTTGATTCTTGACTATTGACTATTGCATGTTATCATATCTGTTGGAGCAGATCTGCGCATAATTTGTTACACTACTAGGAGTTTCTTTTTAGGATATTATTGTTAACAAAGATTAACCTTAATTTATATACATTTAATTAGTTAAACCAAGATCTACATTTTTAGCAAACAATTTGGCACCATCTGTGGGGATTCCTTTGTTAATTTTATAGTTTCCTTTAGATCCGTAAACTAACGCAAGTCACTAACCTCGCAAACCACAAAGATCTTCTCTCTTTGTACGTACAGAAACCAACATGGCAGGGAACCAAGGAGAGAGGACGAGAATAACAAGTGATCTCCCCAGGTTGTAGCAATCTCGTGAATGCTATCAACGAGAGTTGCGAAACAGTAGGTGAGGACGTGATGGCCAACGTTTTCCCTAGGCACGAGAGGTCGCCTCCCCCCACTACAGCATAACAAAATCCAGTGAAAAAAGGGGCCTCCACGTCCGCAGAAGAAAGGACGCCACCAGCTGTAAAAAAAACTCCTCGAAGCATGGATGACCGACATGCTGGTGAGCGTCCTCAACAGACCCGCTCCAAGCATGACTACAGAAACCGCAAGAGCTTGCACGATACAACAAATGGATGATCAGTGTAACCGACCAAACCCTCCGACGACAGGTATAACTCATAATATTACTAACAGTACAGGTGACAACGCTCTCATTGCTGTTCTAAAGAGGATGGAAGAAATGGAGAATGAAAACAAAGCACTCCGAGATCAGATGAAAGAACACCAAGAACGAGTCGACAAGATACCGGGTGCTCCTAAGCTGTTGCCAAAAAGGGACGCCGGCAGGTTCGTAGAGCAGCCGTACACTGATAACGCAGCCCCTCATGCCATACCAAGGACCTTCAAAATTCTGCCCTAGCTCAGTATATACGACGGGATGACCGATACTGAGGATCATATGACCTATTATGTCATCGCCGTGAAAGGTAACGACCTCGCCAAGGAACAAATGTCCTCTATTTTGCTGAAGAAGTTTGGCGAAACTCATATGGGAGGGGGGGGCATTGACATGGTATTCAAAGCTACTAAATCGCTCCATAGAGACTTTCGAGGAAATGGCCGATAAGTTTGTAACCGTCCATGCCGGAGCAATAATGGCCAAAGCAAGAGTAAATGACATATTCGCTATCAAGTAGTCCTTGGGAGAGGGACTAAGGGACTTCCTCGCCCGATTCAACAGAGTAAGGATGACTCTACCGAATGTATCCTAAGGGATGGCGATCGCGGACTTTCAGAACGGGTTGAGTAGAGATGGTTCGAGAACGACTAGAAAACTATTGAACCGATTGATGAAATATCCTCCAACCACTTGGGACGAAATCCATAATGCCTATTGCACTAAGGTCCGAGCAGATGAAGACGACCTCAACGGACCAACTCACCGACTAACCTCGGTACAAACCGAATCCATAAAAGAACGAAGAGATAACATCAGGAGGGATCACCCGATTTCGCGACCCAATAGGGAACGACACTAGCCATATGTAAGGACGGTCGTCGCACCTTCCCCCCGTTATGAAGAAGGCCCATCCAGGCCAAGAACAGGGACTCACCGGAACGAAAGAGGTATGCCCCATTTATTATTTGCTCATAATTTTTGTGTTTCACTTATAGAAAATAGTCTACGCTCTTGAGAAACTTGGAACATAGGTGAAGTGGCCGCCGAAGATGAGATCAAACTCGAACACCAGAAAATCTGACGCCCTCTATGAGTTCCACCAGGAACGTGGGCACAAAATAGAAAATTGCATTACTCTCAGACAAGAAGTCGTAAACATGTTGTGGCAGGGATACCTCAAAGAGCTGCTAAGCGACAAGGGTAGAAACAACTTCGCCAGAGGACGCGAACACCAAGGCATGCCGAAGCCGCCATCACTAGCTCGTACTATCAACATGATCATCAGCGGCGGCGGTGACGCCTCTATCAACGGCGTGAAGTTCACCACCACTCACAAGCTCAATCGGTCTATCACCGATGGTTTGATTTTTTCTCATAATGATGTTCTCGTTATTACTTTACGTATTTTAAATACAGATGTCAAACGTATCATGGTGGATGATGGAAGCAGTGCATGCATGATCCATCCCTGAATCCTTACCAAAATCAGACTCGAGGATAAGATAGTGTCGCGCTGCATCACGCTAACCGGCTTTAATAATGCAATTGAGCTGACATCTGGGGAAATTACACTCCCCGTGTTGGTCGGTGGCGTAACACTAGATACGACATTCCATATCATGGATCAGGCCACAACATGCAACTCCATAGTGGGATGACCATGGATACATCCCATGAGAGTCATCCCCTCCAGCCTATACCAAATAATTAAATTTCCAACACCATGGGGAATATTCCGCATACGCGAAGAACAACGCATGTCCCGAGAATGCTACTATATTGCCTTAGACAACACGGTAATCCAACAGAAAAAAGACAAGGAAAAAGAGGCATAGCAATCAACAGGGCCGAGGTCGATGCAAGGAGAGACCGGAGACGTGATCATGAATCCCGAAATGGTCGAGGCTGCGGATTCGACCATAGAAGACCTTGATCCCATTTAATTGGACCTCAACGACCACAGTAAAAGGCCTATATCGGCTGCAAACTCCGGGAACCAGGTAAATTCAATCAATTCTTAATAACTAGTGCAAATATATTTGCCTTCAGCCATGCGTATATGCCGGCCATCCCAAGGGAAATCGCCACACACAAATTAAACGTCGACCCGCTCCACCCCCCACCCCCCCAATTAGACAGGTCAGGCGAAAATTCAACCCCGTCATCAATGATGCAGTCCACGAGAAAGTGGGAAAATTGTTAGATAACGGCTCCATCAGGGAGTCGAAGTACCCTAAATGGATCGCCAATGTAGTGATAGTCAAAAAGAAAAATGGGAAATGGCGGATGTGCGTGGACTTCACAGACTTGCATGTCCGAAGGATCGTTCCCATTACCTCACATCGACTAACTCATCGACTCAACAACCGGGCACGAGCTATTGAGTTTTTTGGACACTTACTCATGCTAATACCAAATTCTTATGGAGGAAGAAGACCAGGAGAAGACCACGTTCATCACCCACCAAGTAATGTATTGTTATTGGGTCTTGCCGTTTGGGCTGAAGAACACGGGGGCTACCTATCAAAGATTGGTGACAAAGATGTTCAAAGACCAGCTCGGCAAGATCATGGAAGTATATATAGATGACATGTTGGTCAAGTCCGTAAATGCTGAGGACCATATCGATCATTTGAAGAAAGCTTTCGACATACTAAGACGGTACGTGATGAAACTAAATCCGGAGAAATGCGCGTTTGGCATAGCCTAGGGAAAGTTCTTGGGTTTTTGGTGTCGCAACGGGGCATCGAAGTCAACCCAGACCAAATCAAAGTTATCGAAGGGATACCCGAGCTCTTGACTACCAAGTAGCAACTCCAAAGGTTGATTGGTTGAATCGCTGCCCTATCAAGATTTAGCTCGCGTTCGTTTGATAGATGTCACAAATTCTTCG